GCCCCACCCCCTATTCCCCCCGAGGACATGACCTCACTCGACCATCCCAGACCATAGCCACAAATACCTATGACAGACTAAGGGGAATCACTAACACACACAAGGCAACAGACCAAAATAGAAGAAGATAAGTTGCAACTGTAGGCACACTAATACGTTGAATATACTAATACAAACTAAGATGGCACTAATTTAACTAACACAACAACAGAAAATAGGAAAATGGGAGGTACCAACTCCTACGAGTAGAACCTGGGGATTGTCTTGTTATATACGACGATGATATTGCCACCTAGCGCGTTCGCGTCCAACTCCTGCCGCCCCTTGCTGTCACGCGCTCGGATTGTTCGTTAATGTTTGCACACACACATCCTGTTCGCCGCTAACAGCCACAAGTCCTAACCTGAAATACACACAAAACACCACGAATCCAAACAAAGCAGGGAGGGGTTGTCACCGCTACCACTGATGAGCCCCCACGCGTAGCAAAAAGAGATAAGTAGTAAAATGCGAGGGGAATGAAGGGATAACAGCAAAATTGAGATAGAGAAAAGCTTAATTTCACGAACTCTGTGACTGAATCGAACAACTCTGGTGAAAAAAATACTAAAAATAAAATAAAAGAAAAAATAGATATGGGGACCCGAGACTAAAGAGGGGGATCTGGGAACCTCAAAGTCAAAAATCACAAAGCTCAAAAGTTGAAAACTTTGAATCAGGTGTGTATAAAACATCAACTACGTTGAATGAAAAACTAGGTTTAATTCAAAATAATAGTCTATTATTGGCTTAGCAACGTTTGCTTCACAGAGCTTATGATTTTAATTTTCTTTCCTATTCGTAAAACAACAATATGAGAAGTGAGAGGGGAAGGAGGAGAGGGAGGGAGATGCAGGAGGGGGATAACCTGTTAGAGGAGGTGGTCGTTGGCGCCGGGAATTCGCCAGCTAAGGCTGGATCTGGAAATTTCTTGACCGTTGGGAGGGGGGAGCGTTACAGAGAGCGTTCGTAAGTTGAAGTTTTTCCGGTGGAGCTAAGTTCAATCACTTTTCCACATGTTGTATATATGTGTATCTTTTATCTTTACGCAACTGACGACCTAACTGATTATGATATATAGATATTAATAAACTTTACACATATATATGGTTATTTCTTTATCCATTGATTATGATATATAGATATTTCTCTAAGCTTTTCTGAAAGTTATATACAAAGTCATTTTCTATATGAATCATAGACCAATTATGAGAATTCGAAACCCTTGTATCAACATCAACTTCTGAATGTTCAACGGTTGATATGAACTTCAGCCAGCTGGCACATGCTTCCTATATGATGTTGTTCCAGTAAAATAAGAAAGGCTACCAACCTTAATATATAGTACTAATATCTCACGATATGATCTTATTATTCGAAAATAAAAATGGTGATCTTGCTGAAACTGAATTATTCTAAAAACTTTGATTAAGTATATTTGGTGCAGTGCGAAGATAAAATGTAGATCTTCATAGGATATATATGTATGGCCAAAATATATTTTTGGTATAGGCGATCCACGTCAGTACCATTATAGCCTTCATTGACCACCATGTACTATCAGTAAGGTCCTCACAAAGATCACTCTCAAGGCGAAGTGTCACGATCCGGATTTCCCGCACTCAGGAATCGTGATGGCGCCTACTAATGAGAGCTGGGCAAGCCAAACCTTTGATCTAATTACTTCATCAGCCGATTATTTCTTTAAAACAAATATAAGGCGATAACATGAAAACAACGGAACTTTAAATAATTAAGCGGAAGATAACAATCAAATATCTGAAATATGCATTTACTACAACTCTTAAAACCTAAAGCACCCAAAACCTGGTGTCACAGTGTCACAGACGTTCTAAGATTTACTACATACAAAGTCTGAAGAAAATGACAATACACTGTTTCTGAATAAAAGGAAAAATGAAATAGGAAATAGGAAGAGGAGACACTAGGGCCTGCGGACGTCTGCATGTCTACCTTGGATCTCCGCGTGGACTGAAGGTAGCCTCCACACTACGGTCCAAAAGCTGCTCCGGGATCTGCACATAGTGCAGAGTGTAGTATCAGCACACCGACCCCATGTGCTGGTAAGTGTAGAGCATAACCTCGGCGAAGTAGTGACGAGTCTAGGACCAGACTACCAAATAAACATGTGCAGTTATATAATATAATGCGGAAAGTAAAGTAGAATAAACAAATAAAAATAGGAAGGGAAAACATGCTTCGGGGAATAACAGGTAAAACAGAATATCAAGAGAATTATAAAGGAATCAAATCAACCACTAACAAGACTAAGGAAAACAAAGGCAGATTTCACTTTTTTTTCACATCGTGTTGCAGGCGTGCAACCCGATCCCAATTCCTGTATCTTGTGGTAGGCGTGCCACCCGCTCCCATTTCATTTAGCTCGTGGCAGGTGTCCTACCCGCTCTCATTTCATTTATCTCGTGGTAGGCGTACCACCCGCTCCCATTTCATTATATCTTGTGGTAGGCGTACCACCCGCTCCCATTTCATCATATCTTGTGGTAGGCGTATCACCCGCTCCCATTTCATTATATCTTGTGGTAGGCGTACCACCCGCTTCCATTTCAGTATATCTTGTGGTAAAGCATAGGCAATGACCTTGCCACCCTGCATCAACACTACACCAAGCCCAATACGAGATGCATCGCAATAAACTGTATAAGGCCCTAAACCTGTGGGCATAACTAACACTAGTGTCATAGTCAGAGCTGTCTTGAGCTTTTGAAAGCTCGCCTCACACTCGTTCGACTATCTGAACTGGGCACCCTTTTGGGTCAACCTGGTCATCGGGACTACGATAGATGAGAACCCCTCCACGAACCGACGATAGTAGCCTGCCAATCCCAAGAAACTCCGAATCTCTGTAGCTGATGCTGGTCTAGGACAGTTCTTGACTACCTCAATCTTCTTCGGATCAACCTGAATACCCTTTACTGATAAAACATGACCTAGAAATGCAACTGAATTCAACCAGAACTCACACTTCGAGAATTTAGCATATAACTGACTATCCTTCAAGGTCTGGAGAACCACTCTAAGATGCTGCTCGTGCTCCTCCCGGCTGCGGGAATATATCAAAATATCATCAATGAAGACTATCACAAATGAATCCAAATAAGGCTTGAAAACTCGGTTCATCAAATCCATGAAAGTTGCTGGGGCATTTGTGTACCCGAATGACATAACCAAGAACTCATAATGCCCATACCGAGTGCGGAAAGCTGTCTTAGGGACATCGGATGCCCTAATCCTCAACTGATGGTAGCCAGATCTCAAGTCAATCTTCGAAAATATCTTGGCGCCCTAAAGCTGATCAAACAAATCATCAATCCTCGGCAATGGATACTTATTCTTGATTGTAACCTTGTTCAACTACCGGTAATCAATACATATTCTCATCAATCCGTCCTTCTTCTTAACAAATAGCATCGGCGCACCCCAAGGCGAAACACTCGGCCTAATGAAACCCTTCTCAAGCAAGTCTTGCAATTG